ACAATTTTTATCATTTATTAAATTTTAAATAACAGTTATTATGTTATTTATAAAAATTCCATCGCAAGGTAATACAAATTGTTAGACTTTGCAATTTACGTATGCTTGACAATGTTTCGAAATAATTTCTTTTAATTCGAAATAAGCTCTTTTAATCTCACATGTTCTTGCTTCAAAGTCCTCCCATACATTTTCAATATACAGTGTTAATTCGTTCACGTTTTCTAGCCTTCAGGCCAATACGTCATATCATGCGTTAACGCATGACAATAAATAAAATAAATTCCTATAATTCGTCTACTTAATTTGCAATTAGGAAATTTCTATACTTCAGTTGATAATTGTTCAAGTTGATAATAAACTTCGTCGAAATTTTGGCAAATACTTGCCCATACAGTAACTCGAAGCTAATTGAAACGAACTTCATACTGTAGATAAGGGTTCTCTAAAGAATAACAAACCTCATGTCTATAGACCTATTTAACACCTTCACTGCGGCAGCTTCCTTTGAGGATTTTCCTATTTTTTTTTTTTTCCTATTTGGCGGTACGGAACAAATAAACCCTGCATGTTTTTTTGCTATATTTCGTTATTTTATTCTACAGAGACTCGATTCGTACCTATTACAGTGAAGCTAGTGGAAAAATAGCAGAAATATCAGCTTGTCACGTAGAACAGGTTTAATGAAAAATTAGTCAGACACGGCGAAGGTATGATACAGGATCTACGGGGTGTCTTTTTTAACCGAACACGGTGGAATATTTCGAATGGAACTGAAGCTATCGAAAAAATGTTCTTAGAAAAGTTGTTTGGTATGACGAGGGGCATAATGTGGTATAAATACATTTCTCACGGTTGAAGTACTGGTGGAGTTTTCGAGATCAAGTTTATCTTTCTTTTAAACGGAATTCTATTTTTTTTCTTCGTAGTTTGTTGAAACGAATTCAACGATGTGCTACGCAGTCATTTCGTTTTATGAAAAATCGTAAAATAGTGAAGAATCGGAGAGTTAGGTAAACATGTGTCACACGCTTTCGACCACCTAATCCCACTTGACTGTGCTATTAATACAAATTCTTCACGATTTTACGATTTAAAAAAATTAACTTCATCTTGAAATTTTTCCCACTACTTCACCCGCGAAGAAACTATTTATACCACATGATGTTCCCCGTTATACCAAACAACTTTGTAAGAATAGTTTTTCGATAACTTTAGTTACCGTTGAGATATTACACCGCGTCCGGTTAAAAAAGACACCTTGTACGTATATACACAGAATGCGTCTTGGCTCGCGCAGTTTTCAATTGTATTCGAAGGAGTTCACAAACTGCTGTAAAATGGGTTTCCCTAATTTCCTCTGTCACGTTCTTGCTCGATTATTTGTTGTTTTTTTTTTGTGAATTAAACTACGGTACAATAAAATTGTACCTTCATTTTGCAAATATGCGATCTGACTTTTGGTACACACTGTATATACAAACTTCAACTGAATATTATGAGCTGTTATTTTTATAACATACAATAAATATTCAAGTTTTTGTTTTATAATGCAAAAGCCATTAGTATTATACAGGGTGTTGCATTCAGAACAGGTCGGTTAATTATCTGTATTTGTGGCGCGATTGAAAATATTTGAAAAATTTCTGCAAGGCTATTTTTTGGAACCTATAGGAAAGTACAGTGGTGGCCCGGACTTGCGTACGAATTGGTTCCAGAGTGGGGAACGTATGTTAGTCGAAAAAGACGTAAGGCAGGGTACACAGAATAGACACGTACACATGTATGTATGCAAACATATATATACATGTATTTATCAGATTAGGATCACATTTAATGTTTCGAATTCTTTGCTCAAGTAACTTCCAGACTGATTCAGTAAGAGCTAAACACGTGGAGCGTGAAATATCGGTTACATACAATTGACTATCGAATTGTGTAGAAACGACGTAAATCGGGAGGACGTAACTCGAGACTCCAGTGTATTTAAGAAGAAATCGATATGCGAGGTATCGATTGTCAAGTGTGTGCCGACGAATGAATTATGTATGTTGGCTGCGAACGTTACGAATCTTGATTTTTTTGAAAAAGAAAATTAGTTATGTCGTAGACGTCAGAGTGACAAGACGTATAAAATACAGAAAGCATTTTGATTAAGATTTTGATTTATTTGTAACGCCCTACGCTACCCACAGATCGATACGTTTCCCATGTACTTATGTATGTACATGTTATTCTTAATTGTAACGTACAAGAATAAAGGTAAATAACTACGCTATCGCTGGTAAATATTTACCCACCTACTTTTCTTTCATTATTTGAAGATGTGATAAATATTTCGTAAGAACAGTTGTTTTTTTAAAAGAAAGGCCACGAAACATGTTAATTCCATGACTTCTTACTTAGAAATTATCAAAATAAAATTACATATTAATGTAAAAAACATCGTAAATAAATGAATGTATAAATATTTATGTGCAATGGTGTACCTACATGTACAGCAATGTCGGTAACCTTGGAAACTGTAAAAACTGGTTTTGGAGAAAAATTTCCTTTGTAACATTATTGCAGTCACTTTATGAAACCAATTAACTTGCGTTATGTAAAGGTATGTTTCACGTTAGTGGTGAATGTTATAGTGGTTTTATGCAGAATAATCTGTATTTTAGGCCTTTGAAACTTTTTTTTTACAAAAAAATTGAAATTATAGTTTTTGTTTATTTAGATCTAATAATGAAGGTTTTACAGGTTGGATAATTTATTTAACTGAATGAAATTCGACTGTAATACGGTACACAAGAATACAATTTTTCGCATTCGAAAGAATTATAGGAAATATAAGAAGAACAGTTTATTTATTAAATATGACTTGTTGCATTGAACATGCAAATTTGTACTTACAACGGAAAAAATTATAAAGCGTTACCCATTTATTCAGTAATAATTCTCACTCGTTTTTCCACAATAAGCTTATTACTATGAATGACTTCACCATTTTTTAACTGAACTCGAAGTAACGAACCACCTATTATTATTCATTGCTACTTGAAACTATTGAACGATAATTATTTCGTTATTTTGTTTTCTTATAAGGAAAAAGGACTTTCGTCATTTTTATGAAATATCAAGGAAAATTCTCGAGGTTGAGCTTCCTCGCTCGTTTTCCAAATTTCAAAAATAATTTCTTTACGACACTTTCGCAGTTTTATAACATGGTCTTTATTTACGATCAGCTATGCGAGAAAGTAGCGTAATTTAGAATAGCCACTGACAAAAGACATGTAAAATTCTGGAACACAATAATTATAGAGCGTTATAGTGCATAATTAATATAGCTAACATGAGTAAGATAGCAGAAGAGAAAAGCTTTTCCTTAAACAAGCATGCTGAAAAGTATTACTCCTGCGTGATAATTCTTGATTGCATGTTGTAAAATCGACGAGGAAAACTTTTATACGCTTTATCTATCTAATCATCTATCTAACTAGTCACCATCAATTCACGTCAATGGAATATTTCTTAGTAATGGTAGTTTCCCGTGGTATAGATTTTTTTACGAATTAGCAAATTCACGACGCAAATTAATTTTAATTACATTTGAACCTAGGGTTATCAACATTTCTGGCAAAAAAATCTTCGTTAAACTTGAAACACAATTTCTAAGTTGAAAAATTGTAATATATTATGTTCATATATTATTTATTATATTATAATCATACAATCGGTTTTATTGCTTACTTGGATTTTCATTAAAATATTTTTCCCTTTCGGCACGAACTTATGGAATGACATAATATATACTGCAATTGGCCCCTTTAAACCAAAGTATTAAAAAAAGAAAGGGAGATCTATTGATCCAGTATCTAGTAACGGAAACAATTAAAGTGATTAAGTTACGTTGTCCACCCGGTATTTATACATACACTCCCGTTTATAAGTATAATTAGGTCACTTATTGAATGTGAAGCAAACCTAAACAGTCATTAAGAACTTAAGATAAAACAAAATTATTCAGCCTGGAATCTCGTAACATAGCAAGTGCATAAGTTTTGCTGATATGCGGTACTAAATATAGCGAACAAATGCAATTTAAATCATATAATATTTTCTGCAGAAACATAACGGGTGTTCTAATACTTACGAACAGCGGTGTATATACATTAATCACATTGTGCTTTAATTTCTTGATATACAGTTGTTACAGTATAGATCGTTTTAATGATCATACGAGTTGTATAATAATAATAATAATCAGAAGAATTAATAAAAAGTTAAAGAAGTATCTGTAACCATGTTATGTCATATATTAAGTTATCATTTCAATTAAAATTAGTAATCAATTATTAAATACTAATTAAGGTATCGAGTTTTATATTTCTTGATTGAATACGATGTTTCAATTGTAAATAAGGTACTCTAAATTTTGTATTTCTTTTTTTTTTTTGTTCCAAATAAAATATCACATTTGTGTACATTTCAGAAAAGATACCTCGAAGAGCAATTTTAGGAGTGATGATGTTCTTAGCGTGTATGTTTTCATACATGATTCGCACAAATTTGTCTATTACTATTGTTGCTATGGTTAATACAACTAGTAAAGATGGAGGGACAGGTCCAGCATGTGCTGCTACCACTGTCGGTAATACTAGTCATAAAACGCCTGATTCGAGTGACGTAAGTTTTGTTTTACATTGCATATCAAATGTTTATACTTCTCTCCTTACTGTTACATTAACATATTGATGTTAAATTAACATATTATGTTTTCATCTTACAGTATGGTCCACGATTTGAGTGGAATCAACATATACAAGCTTTATTGCTTTCTGGCTATTTCTATGGTGTTCTTCCAGCAAGTTTACCTGCTGGTCTTCTGGCTGAAAAATATGGAGGTACTAAAGTAGTAGCGTAAGTATAATTTATTATTATACAATTACAATACATATACCACTATTTTGAATGACATTTTGTATGTCATTTGTTTACACATATTTCAACTACCCCTTTGTGCTACATTCTAATATAGATTTGCCACACTAATACCTGCAGTATTAAATCTTTTGATGCCTTGGGCTTCTGGTATTCATTATGGTTTGGTGTTTGCACTTCGTTTTATGATGGGCTTCTTTGGAGTAAGTTGTTTGCTAAGTTCTTGTTGTATATAAATCTTAATTATAATTAGTCTTTCGGTTTCGTCACGAAATATTTTACCGAATAATAAATTTTATAATACAATAAAGGACATTTTTAATTAGAGTAAAATTAATTTTTTAGGGCGCTGTTTATCCCGCCCTTCACGCAATGATTGCAAGATGGGTACCTCCTAGTGAAAAGGGCATGTTTGTATGGACAATGCAAGGTATTTAGATAATAAGTTAAATATAAAATTATTAAACCAAATGTCAAATAATGTGTTTTTTAGGTGGACCTTTTGGAACTGTAGTAACATTTGCTTTATGTGGTCAAATAATTAATGCTTTCGGTTGGAAATGTGCATATTATGTTACAAGTGGACTTATACTGATTTTCTATGCTTTATGGGTTTTCCTTATATACGATACACCTGATCTCCATCCGGGAATCGCGGAAAGTGAAAAAAATTATATCAGAGAACAGATAGGTACAAGTGTTTCTAAACAGAAGGTAAGTTTTGAATTTCTTCATTTAAAATTAATCCGTGTATTGAAATATATGTTTCTGTGCAACACATAATTAAATATTAATATAAAACTGCAGGTGAAACTACCAGTGATGGCTGTCATTACTTCAGTACCGTTTTTAGTTTTGTTGTGGGCTCATTTTGCAAACATGTGGGGTATTTATTTCATAGCTACTAATGGGCCAAAATATACTTTAGAAGTTCTTGGTTTTAACATGAAATCGGTACTTTTTTGTTTATATATTGTTTTAATTGTCTTTATGTACATAAAGTTAAGATTTGTTAAATTATATTTAGGGAGGATCAATTACAGGATTACCTTATATAGCAAGACTTTTTGCTGGAGTATTGTTTGCTGCAGCTGGTGATTATATTCGAAGGAGAAAGTACCTTACATTAGGTTGGATTCGAAAAATATTTATGATTTTTTGTAAGTAAAATCCAATGAAAATTAATAGAATAAATTTTCGTTGATAACTGCATATAGAAAATAATTTCTTGTTTTTATAGCACACATGGGTCCAGCAATAGCTTTGGTTATAATGACATATGCTGGCTGTGATGCATTAACTGCCATTATTATGTTAATATTAGCATTAACTTTTAATGGAGCTGCATGCCAAACTAGTTTACAAAACCATCAAGATCTTGCACCAAATTTTGCTGGTACTTTGTATGGAATCATGAACACCTTCGGCAGCTTTCCTGGATTTATTATTCCACCAATTATCGGTGCTTTAACTAATGAGAGGGTACGGATAAAACAGTAATATTTTTAAGATTTTATTGTATATATTTTGTAATTATTTATTTGCTATAAAATGAAAACATTTTTACAGAATGGAGTAGAAGAATGGCGAACTATGTTCTGGATTTCAGCAGCAGTATTTACATCTGCAACTAGTGAGGAAGAAAAACAAATGACCGAGACACCTATTAAAGTATCACCGACAGAAGAAGATGAAGAAGATGAATAATAATAATGTAAAAAAATAGATCTATTAATCTATTTAATACGGCGTAGAAAATCATCAATTGCATTGTTTAAAGTTAATACTAAATTCTTTTTTATTAATTTATTCATAAGTAATGCAAGTATTACTTTTATTTTGAAAACAGTGACGTAAAGAATATTAATTTACAATCATTAATTATTAATATATAACTACGCATACAATAACCTGATGAAAACTTGGAAATGTGTATTTTTGTATCAAATAATTGCTTATGTAAAATTTATCGTAATGTACGTGTGCATGTGCCAAAAGTTCATATAACCTCACTTATATAATCACTTATATTACAGTTTCTTAAATATAGTGTAACAGTGATATTACTATTATTGTGATATTACATTACGTCCGGGAAGATTCTAAATTATTATATTATATTACATGTGTCTAGAATTTAACCTTAATTAATTCATAAAACTCAATTTATTTACAATTTTTTATAAGAACTTTCTTAAGAACTACTCACAGTTATAGTTAACATTTGATATATGCTTTTGTGACCAGATCTCGCTTGAGCCAACATTTTCAACGTTTTCAATGAATATGGTATAGGAATTGTTACTTAAACATGTATTTTTTCTAGTTTGACTTTTGCAAGATTGTACTATGTATTTTGTAAAACATATAATATACTAATTATATTGCACAAATATTTTTAGAAAGTTTTTTAACTTTATATTTAAAACTAGTAAAATATAACGCCTCGATAATTACAAACCAACTATTTCTGATATATTCTGATATAATGTTCTCATATATTTATTTTTTTAATTTGTAAATAATTTTATATACTAGATACTTCATTTATAATGTCATATATTAATATCTCAAAATATTAAATTACTTATTAGAGTATTCGAAAATAGTAATGTAATGGAACGTAAAAGATACTCTTGATTGCATTTCTTAATTGCTTACCAATTCGTACAATGTATATTTACAATTGAGTCGACAATTCTTCTAGCGTTTTAAATGTGCTACCATAATAACGAAATATTAATGCCATTTTATATATTGTGTCACATACGTTATGAATACTAAGTATTAAACTATAAACATACAATGCTTAATTGTAAATAATCGTAACGATAATTCCTAATACTAATGTAAAGGAATATGTGACTCGATTTTGTAAAGGAAAATATAGTAAAAACAATAATATATACTTACAGCACTGTATTTATAAATTCTTTATAAATTGTAGTACAGAAGTGTTGTTATAAACATTTTATACATGTTTCATTGTTATTAATTCAAAAATATATATGGAACATAACTATATGTAATTTATATAACCAATTGGGGACTATAATGTGGACCAATATAAATATTTTTAGTAATTTCACAAGATTATTGTGCGTATACTACAATGCCTGCACATTGTGATATGTGTAGCTTGTTGTGTGAGTACTAAAAACCAATGTATGTGCACTTTTTTCGCCAATTAAATAGTTTTAAAGAAAATTAATCAGTTTCTGTAATTTCTAAGTATTAGAATTTTGAGAGAGGTATATGGGAATAATTTTAAAACCATCTCCGTGTGATTTCATAGGGATATGAGAAGAAGCGTTATTGCTGCAAGTGCACGTATTGGGCAAGTGTAACTTCGAGAGATCATTACAGGATTGTTGTGCGCACAAGGTTTCTTGTTTAAACAATTTATTATTCATGGTATTTATACTTAAGCATGTGCCACAAGTTAATTTAGTATGTGTTTCTTCATTTTCCTTAGAAGTCTGCAGAAGTGAAGTAGCGCAATTTTCTTGGTTACAAAATGTTTCTTTTAATATCTGTAAAGCATTTGCTGCTTTAGAAGTTAATGTCTTATGACGACCAGAAGTATCTTGACGAATTGACTGATCTAGAAAACTTATGGTTGTTTGACTTGAACTACTTATAGATTCTGTAAAATAGAATGTAATAATACACATATATGTAATATTTGATGATACATTCTGAATCAT